AAGATTAAAAAATTAAATTCGCAGTGGATGCAGCATATCAAAGCAAAAGGTGTTATTCTATTTCTATTTTACATGTGACAAAGCAAAGAAATTACTCATGTCAAAAATCATTGGAGTAATTAATCAGGCAAACTTGATTTGTAGCTAAAAAATGAGTGCTATTCATTGTCATCACTATGGAATATCGGTGATGCGACAATCAATTATTCATCACATTTATCTTACTCATAAAATTGAACTGTTCAATCTCATTATTTTACATAAGCTATCACATCATCGATATTTCATAATCATGATGATAAATAGTATTATTCCTCAAAAATAGGATATGCAACTTGAAGTGTGGCCTATTTTGAATAGCTTTGCAAAAGTGGTAATTTTTTGAGGTGTAATCACCAAATAAATAAATAAATAAAATCATTTTTCATGGTGATTTAAAATATTTAAAATACATTTTTATATAGTATATCTTATATACATTTTATTTTTTTAATAAATCAATACTTTTTAGTTTTGATTTTTGTTGGTAAAATCTTTTTATTAAAAAAAGAGTAGTTATTGCTTATACTAAACACAACTTCGAGAAAAAATATATATTGTTACCATGAACGAGAGATGAATGCATATAGTGGAGTGTTCAAAAACTGTCTGCATTCGACCCAGCATGACATGTGTCGTCTTTCATATATTTGTTGCATCAATTTGAAGTTTTGAGTAATGTACTTTTAGGGCCTGTCCAGGCACTTAAAATCACAATTTGGACCATTGATAATTAAAGTTTGGATCGTTACTTTTCACAAAAATATACTCTTTTTGCATAATATTTGACACATCAGCCGCAATTTTGAACAAATTTATGACATAATGACCATTTTACCCAAGCTATTTAATTCATGTTTGCATTATAGAAACCCATTTTAGGTACTTCATTTTTAAACAGTCAAATTTTGCCGCTACACTGGGACCCATTTTGCAGGCAGCAACAGTCAATTAATTGCTCAAATTGGGAAAGAAGATGTGCCAGACAGGCACTTAATATATGAATGATAGTTCTAAAGGTCACTTGAAAAAAAATCTTTCATTTACAGCTATTTAAATTCTTTAAAATTCATATGTATATAGTATATCTTATATTTTTTAATAAAATCAGTACTTTTCTAGCTATTGCTTATATTGAAACTACTTTGAGTTCAACTAGAGCTTGTTTGAGAGAGATTTTTGGAGGAAGAATTGATTTTGAATAGTAATATGATGGGAAATGTGTGGTTGAAAAAAAAAGAAAAAATTATTGATGTGATGGAAAATATTATTTTATTGAAGAATGTGTGGTTGAAAATGAGAATTGATTTACTGTAGAATTTGAGAATAAAAAACAAACACAATAGTTGACTTTGATTTTGAATAGTGATAGGATGGGAAATGTGTGGTTGAAAAAGAAGAAAAAATTATTGACGTGATGAAAAATATTATTTTATTGAAGAATGTGTGGTTGAAAATGAGAATTGATTTACTGTAGAAAATTTTAATTCCTCCCAAACAGGGCCTATATTATTACCGTGAAAGATAGGCATATAATAATCTCCGAAGAATGTCGACATTTGATTTAACATGACACGTGTTGGAACAATAGGCCATCCTATTAGGAATGTCCATGTTTCGTAGCCTTGTTGCATTAGTATTGAATTTTGATATAATATTTCTATTGTACATCTTGCTATTTTTATATTCTAGTCTCAACATTTCAAATTAAAAATTAAATTTGATGGAAAGTGTTGTTAAATCTATATCTATTTTATGTGATAAAGCAAAAAAAAAAAATTACTCGCGTCAAAGATCATTGAAACAATTAATAGGGCGATTTTGATTTGTAGCTAAAATTGGGCGATAGACTTGAAATATGACGAATTTTGGAAGGCTTTCCAAAATTTTCCATTTTTTGAGGTGCGATTACAAAAAATATTTTTTGTAAAAAAAAAAATAAATTTATTTGTATGAATAAGATTTTCTATTACATGCAAAAATTTCGAGGAAAAATCATTTACTTCCTAGAGAATCTTTGTTAGTGACGTTACCAATGAGTATTATATATAACTGAAGATCTAATCCATTTTGTAAACAAAGAAGAATCGCTAAACAAAAGGAGATTACTAAATGAAAAATTGGAGACTTTTGAACTTGACCCGGTACTGAGATTCTCAACTTTTGAGTTCAACTCTCGACACCATAAGCTAGCACTCGAAGGTTAAAACTATGTTTAGTTTATGGCAGGTTTTATCCACTTTTGTACAGGTCATGATATCCTATCAAAGATGCTGACGGAACCCGCGAGTCCGGTCTTCTTGCCCTGGAAGGCATAGGATATGCCCTACAAGGCGGGTCATTCGGTTTCTTCGCGTTATGGTTGCATTGCAAGAATGACATCTGTTCGGATGGGAATATGCATATCATAAGATATATGGTTATTATGTGAGCCTAGTCTCGAAGGGCTTCGCTGGCTGTGTCTCCTCTTGTTCCCAAATGAAGCCTGCCGATTGTGAGCATACAAGAGTTGGACGTGAAAAATTGGCTAAGAAAGCCAACAGAAAGGGAAAATGTTAAAATTGTCTATGCGGAAGTTTCTAGAAGCTTGCGGAGAGGACTGGAACTTTCCGATAATTTAAGGAAATATCTAGCAACTTCAAATGGGTAAGGAATCTCCCCAACATTCTAAAACTACCTAGTGAATGTACCTAAGGTATGGGAAGATTCTAGAACATCTTAGACAAAGTTGTATGCTTGAGAATTGTATAAAGAATTCTGGAATCTCCATCACATATTAAGGAGGTGTGATGCCTATAAATACCCACCTAGACCATTTGTAATGGACATACATACATACATAAACACATAGAAAAAGTTAAGGCTGACTTAGTTGGATTTTGGGGAAAACAATTGACTAAGTGTCGCACGAGGACAAGCTAAAGTTCTTGTACCGTGACACGACTGCAAATTTTCCATCTAGGCATTCTTTATTCGAATTAATGGAATTTGGAATTAATCATTACATGTGATATTTAATGATATGAGTCATTGCAATTAATTTGGGTGAATTAGAAAAGTCTCTAATATAGGCTCATAAGTTGATAAGTCCATTTTAAGTGTCTTATATATGGTTAGAAATCTCACATCGAAAGTTTACAAAATAAAGACTTGTTTATATAGTGAGGTGTGTGTACAGGTTATAATTTAATAAGTGACCTACAATGTAGCTAACATTGGCTAGCCATCACTAGAACTCGTGCCCCGACCCGGCCCGCACATGTCGCAAAGTTCATATTGGGTGCTTTAGAGGCACACTTCGCATGTACGCATTGTCGAGAGGAGTTGGGAAGCCTTATAATTTTCGAAAATGGACTCGTAGTTCGATGACATAGCAACGGAAGGCTCGATGAGTTGGCATCCTAGGTAGCATACACGTAACATGTTGCATCACTTCATCCTGCATGACAGTTGGATGTACGCATAACATATGCATGGTTCGTGAATAGGTATGATGAAAGGACATTACCTTCAAAGTTTAATTTGGGTCGTTGGATCATGAAATTGTGCGATCCAATGGCTAAAATGAATCAAACCAAGTGGTGCATCAGTTCATGAAATGTAACTCACCCATTCAATGAGACATTTCAATCTCTATAAATAGAAACCTCTAGATTCATTTTTCAACACTCCAAATCAATTAAAAATACTATTGATTTCTAACTTCATTCTCTCTCCATATTCTACAAAAGTTCTTTCATAAATTTATTCATGGTTATTCCGTTCAAGTACCATCATTCTTTAGTTCGACCAATAAGGTTGGTATTGTGCAGTATTGACTTTGGAAGGAACGTTGTATCTTGGGAGACATATGTCCATAATCCCGTTTGCACTATGTTTTGGGGGGGAGGGCGAAATCTGTTTTAAGGAGATTTAATTTGACATACCTTGCTTCATTTTCTATTCAATTTATTTATTCTTTTGATCGAGATAGTTGTATTTCCGACAACATTCTCCTCCTGTAACTGCTAGATATCGATATCGGGATTATTCTTCTGAAGGTTCTTACTTTGACAACGATGTATTACCTAGGTGAAAATTTATATTGTCCACCGCAACCGCAATCTCCTTGTGGTGGAAGGATTCTTCCGATCTGTTATTGATTATTTCCACCATTGTTGATTGGAATTTGAGCGTTCAACAAGATTTCTATTAAAGGATTTCCTACGTATTTATTATTGTGATTGATGTATCAGAATTTTCACATAGTGCCAATTTGTTGACCTAAAAAATCTACTTGTCCTTGCTGTCAATAAATCTCCTGTCATATCCCTGCTAGCATGTATGTTAGTTGCAAACTCAAGCGCCCTGCTAGGCACCAAGATCATGTTCTCAAAAAAGGGGTAGACTACCAATGATCAAATTAATTCAGTACAAGATAGTATACAGGAATGAGTGTGGGAGAGACAAACAAGTAAGAATTTGGCTAGAGTTTATAGCTACTTATAAGGAGAAAGTCCTTATATAATTGGGTTAGAGCATAACACTAATTTCCAATATTTTCAAAATCGGACCGGACCGATCGGTTTAACCCTAAAAACCTGGGAATAGGATCGAAGTTGAGTTCGGTTATAATGTAAAAATCAAATGTTAAGAAATCAATGGAATCCGGGAACCGTCCGACTCAATCGAAAACCGGTGAAACGGTCATGATTTTACGGGCTTTACAGTTGATATTTAGGCCTCATTCCTGATTTTGTTGTCTCTAGAACTTCGGTATCCTTTTGGTGAAATCCTTGCACAAATTTTTAATCAAAACATCCAAGATTCAAATCTAAAACAATCTTCAATAAATAAAAATAGAAGTATTTATGTTTTTATGCAAATACATATATTTTATGTGTGAAAAAGATAGACAGAAAATAGGCGGCGGCAATGTTGAACTTTTGCCTCTGCAATGTTCTATATTAACTGCGAAGGAAATGGAAAGGTGTAGGTATTCGTGCTCTTCGCAACTTGGTGGCGAAGCAAGGTCCCGAAGTCCTTTTCCTTCAAGAAACCAGATTAACTGCGAAGGAAATGGAAAGGTGTAGGTGTTCTCTTGATTTTTCAAACTGTTTTACTGTTAATTGTGTGGGTCGAGGCGGGGGTTTAGCTATGTTATGGGCCAATTCTGTGGACCTGACCATTCAGAGCTACTCACGGAACCACATCGACGCTGTGCTGACGGATGTTGGTGGGAATAAAGTGAGTTTTTTGTGGCGGGTGTTTATTGTCATCCAGAAGCCTCCCAAAGGCTTAGTTGCTAGAATTTAATTCGTAGTTTGCATCATTCTCGCTCAGGACCTTAGGTTTTATTGGTGACTTTAACGAAATCTTGTGTAATGAGGAGAAAAGAGGGGGTTGCCCCAGACACAAAAGGCAGATGATGGAGTTTAGAAGGATGCTAGATGATTGTTTGTTGAGGGATTTAGGTTTCCAGGGGGAGAAATTTACCTGGTGCAACTGGAGAGATGGGAATGATCGTGTGCTTGAACGCTTGGATAGAGCTATTGCTAACACCCAATGGTGTAGTTCATTTTCACACGCTGCGGTAATACATGGTTACTCTCCATACTCAGATCATATCCCGTTGTGGTTAGAGGTTGAGGGCATAAATGACGGAAGGCAGCGGAGTAAAAAACTCTTCAGGTTTGAGGCTATGTGGGTGGGAGAGGAAAACTGTAAGAACATTATTGATATGTGTGGAACGCGGGGGAGAGAGTATCTGCCGTCGAGGAGGTCATGAAACTAATTTCTAAGTGTAGAAAGGAGCTGAAGGGCTGGAATGAAACAGGTTTTGGAAATGTTCAGTCAAAGCTTCGCAAGGCACAACTGAATCTTAAGCATCTACAAGATACAGGCCTTATGGGTACAAATCAGATGAAGGAGGCGAGGAAACAGGTTCAAACCTGGCTGGAACGTGATGAACTCGTGTGGAGACAACGATCTAAGGCCCTTTGGTTAAAGGAAGGTGATGGCAACACTCGATTTTTTCACTCAAAGGCCTCACAGAGGCGAACTAGGAACTACATTTCAAGACTCAAAGATGCAAATGGAAATTGGCTAGATGGAGAGGAGAGAGATAATCTGATCAAGCAATACTTCACGAACCTATTCTCAGCAAACACATATAGGGGCTCCACGTCTTTTCTGGAATCTTTAAGGGGTAGAGTGACTGCAGAAATGAATGAACTGTTAACTCAAAGATTTTCAGAAGAGGCGGTCAAGATTGCACTGAAAGAAATGGACCCATTCAAGGCACCTGGCCCGGATGGGATGAGCCCAGTATTTTTTCAGAAACACTGGGTCACAGTTGGCAGCAAGGTGAAGGCTGCAGTGCTTCAAGCCCTTAACAAAGGTGACTTCCCCCAATATTTAAATCACACTTTCATCACCTTAATCCCAAAAACGGCGTACCCAGCTCAGATTACTAAATATCGACCTATCAGTCTATGTAATGTGCTAATGAAACTGATTACCAAAACTTTTGCTAATAGAGTGAAGAGCCTGTTGCCTCAAGTTATCTCTGAGTCTCAATCAGCTTTTGTGCCGGGTCGATCGATTACGAATAATGTATTAATCGCATACGAACTGATTCACTATTTACGACATAAGAAGAAGGGGAAAAAGGGATATATGTCTCTTAAGCTGGATATGAGTAAAGCTTATGACAGAATTGAATGAGATTTTTTAGAACAGGTTATGACTACTATGGGGTTTGATAACAGAGTGATTAATTTGATCATGAAATGTGTGAAATCAGTGTCTTATTCTATTTTGATCAATGGTAGCCCTTCATCTACTTTCTTCCCTAACAGAGGTCTAAGGCAGGGGGATCCTCTTTCCCCCTACCTTTTCCTCCTTTGTACTGAGGGCTTAATCACTCTACTACATAAGGCCAAAGACGAGGGCAAGATTGGTAGAATCAGGTTATGCCGAGGAGCTCCTACGATTAATAATCTCCTCTTTGCAGATGATTGTTTGATTTTTTGCCAGGCTTCTGTACAGGAGAACCAGAATTTGCAATCACTCTTGAAGACCTATGAGTTGGCCTCGGGGCTGATGATTAATATGGAAAAGACCTCCATGGTGTTTAGTAAAAATGTGGCAGCTCTGAATAGGAGTCAGATCCTGGAGTTATGTCACCTTCAACACGAGAATAACTTTGGTAAATACTTAGGGTTGCCACTGATGGTGGGGATGGCAAAGTCGAGAGCTTTTTTAGACATTAAAAATCGAGTTTGGAAGAAACTACAAAGCTGGAAGGAAAAGCTCTTACCTCAAGGTGGAAAGGAGGTATTAATTAAGGCTGTCGCGACAGCAATCCCTACTTACTCCATGTCATGCTTTCTACTGCCAACCAGCTTATGCACTGAGCTTGGGTCAATGATGGCTAGATTTTGGTGGGGCCAAAAAAGAGATGAAAGAAAGATTCATTGGATCAGCTGGGAGAACATGTGTAACTCGAAAATTAACGGAGGTCTGAGCTTCAAAAAATTGAGGGACTTCAATTTAGCAATGCTAGCTAAGCAAGGATGGCGACTATTAAATGGGGAGGGTCTTTACTGCATACAATATTCAAGGCGAAGTATTTTGCCAACTCGGACTTTTTAAACAACTAGGCAGTAACCCCTCCTATACATGGCGTAGTATTTTGGAAGCCAAATCTATCCTAGTACAGGGATGCAAATGGAGGATAGGGGATGGAAAAGGAGTAAGGATTCCAAAAACTTGCCAAGATGCAACAAACATCGTTCTTTCAGACATGGGTGATATGAGAACTGATCAGTTAATTGATATGCACACGAGATGGTGGGATGTGGAAAAAGTTAGAACTCTCTTCAATCCAATTGTGGCTAAAAAAATTCTACAGATACCCATTAGTCCAGACTTGCAACTTGACAAACTAATTTGGGAGGCCGAAAAAAATGGAAAGTTCACTGTCAAGTCTGCATACAGATGGATGCAAATGAATAAGTCGACTCGCAGAGGTGAGTCATCGAACTCTCAAGCACTCAGGGACTTATGGAAGACTATTTGGCGTTTACACATTCCTCATAGGGTTCGAATCTTTGCATGGCGAGTGTGTTTGAACATATTACCGACTACTACTAATCTGGTCCAAAAGCATATAAATGTTACAACTGTTTGTGGTTTCTGTGGAGTGGGGGCAGAGGACTTAAATCATATCTTTTTGAGCTGCCCCTCTCTAGTTGATTATTGGACAAAGTTTCTACCTCAACTATCCCATGTTGATCGAAACCAAGATCTGTTTGAGGTGGTTATGCAGATTAAACAAGTGGGCGGGAAAGAGGCTCTGGGTTTATTTTTTACTGTGGTTTCCAGCATCTGGCTGTGCAGAAATAAAAAACTTTATGAAGGTGAAAGTTTAAATATGAGCTCTAACATCGAACATGCTCTTTCAATGCTACATTTATTTAAGGGGTTAAAACTCAGACGGGATCTGCGTTGAACAGATTCTGTTAGTGGAAGGCTCCTCCAGCAGACTTCCTGAAGCTGAATGTTGATGGGGCAACCTTTCATCATCTTCACAAAGCTGGGGTAGGTGTTGTTTTGAGAGACCAAACAGGAACAGTGCTAATGGCTGCCTCAAAAGGAGAAAGGGAAGTGGCTGATCCAGAAATGATAGAGTTCCCGGCGGTTCTTCAAGGGCTTCAGCTTGTTATGTCTATGGGCATCTCTCGGTTAGTCATTGAATCAGACTGCCTATTTGTTGTTTCACAACTCAATGACGAGGAGTCCATTAGTCTGTCGCCTTGGAGCTCCATCATTGCTGATATTAGGTGCCTGTTGTCTGTGTTTTTGGATGTCAAAATATGCCATGTGAATAGACTAGGGAATGGGGTAGCACATGAACTAGCTAGGCATGCGTGGGAAGTTGAGTCCATTCAAATGTGGTGGGAGGGATTTCCAGACTTTATCTCTCATGCTATTTGGCTTGACAGTCGTCTGTAATCATTGATTCTCTCATTAATGCAAGTCTTGATTATCAAAAAATAAAAAAAATGTTCTATATTAAGGTTTGGATTTTGGGTATATGGACTCTAAAATTGTTATGGCCCATTTAATTTCTCCACTTGATGTTAAAGTCCATAAGCAATAAATGGTAAATAATGGGTTTTAACTATTTTAATTAATAAAATTTTTACTATAGTAAATAAATCTATTTATTATTTTAATTCCTGGTCAATTTCGATCCAACTTCGGTTCGACCTTTTGACACTTTAACTTCCCCGGATCGATGATGGGGTCGATTTTCAAAACATTGCTAATTTCACGTATCATGTTACCATTGGCACATAGTATCTCCATTGGGTTACGATGAATTCATTTTGACTAGTTTGTTTCTTTATGGATTGAATTTTCTTTTAGGTAAGGGCGGGCCGAGACCATTTTTCTTGTTGGGTCAAAAATGAGAATTCAAAAATGTTTAGGTAAAAAAAATAATTCAAAAGGGGAAAGCTCAAAAAAAAAAATTGTGGGGTCATTTGACCCCACATGACCCCCATGTGGGTCCGCCAGTGCTTGTATGGATTTATTCCATAAGTTTTTTCTTGATTCCGAGGGATTATATGGTAACTTTTAGGTATTGACACAACAGTACCCTTTTACAGCCCTTCCTACCGAGCTTATTCACGCTGGATTCCAACATCTGGAAGCCCTTATTCAACGTACGAATTTGTCCGGAACATCCTGGAGTAGGGGTTCAATTGTAGGGCGATAGCTCATGCCAAGAGATGTTGCCATGCTAAGACCGAGAGGGATGACTTTAGTGTGGAAGTCAAAGTTTAAACAGTTAATTGCCTCACTTGAGTGGTAGAATGAGTGAGAATCACAGGCAATTGCCACCTAGAGTTATATCGAAGGCATATGTGGACTTCACCTCCTTGATGGTGCCTACATATGCCTTCATAGATTTCGAGGTGTATTTTTTTGAATTGTATCTCTGCTGGTTATGAGTGTTGGTTCTTTGGCCAGTAAGGTTAATTCTAGAGTTTCTTGAGATTTGTGTGTCGGAATGACGCTGATCAAGTCCTTTCGTGACTTCTAATTAGTAGACAAGCATGCTTTTACAATTTCACATACGTTGGCAGACGTCCCTTCATGGAGGAAAGCTTTGAAATATTGAGTTCATGAACCACGATAAAATATTACGGAAATGACCAAATTGCTAAATTGGGTAGTTTGTCAAGTTGTCAAAGCTTAGATGAGCTACGTTGACTCTCACATCAGTCACAAATTTGATCGGTTTGACGAGGATAACAAGATTAATAGAAAAGAAATATAGGTCATGTTTGGCCTCCATTAAATTAAAATTGATTTTTCTCTCTTCTTATAAACAACACATTTTTCAATAAAATAATATTACACATAAATCTAAAAAAAATTATTTTTAACCACACATTCTAAAAAAAAATTATTATTCCCCCATTATAATTTGGAATAATGGAGTTCAAACATAGGCATAATAAATAGGATAACTGCAGATGTGATCCCAAATATTTCATTTTTTGTAAACTTTATCCAAACATTTCATTTGTGTTACCCATAATCATCAACCTTTAAAATAGCCTCAACATAAGGATAAAACCACGGCACCGTCAATTGAACGGTTATTGACCTAAAAATGAAAAATATATATATATATTTTTTTTGACTAATTAAAATAAAGATATTTTCGTCACTTTACATTTTCTACACAAATATAACCACCCCACTGCACCCCCATAGTTTTTTTTTCCCTTTTATTCAATGTTATAATTATTTTTATGTGGAAAATTTAAAGCGACGAAAATACCCTTCTTTTAATTGGTCAAAACAATTCTTTTTTTTTTTTTAGGTCAAGTAATAGCTGAATTGACAATTTTCATGATTTTGTCCTTTTCTTGAGAAATAAAGGTTTGGGACTATGAATAACACAAACGTAGAATTTAGATAAAATTTGTAAAAATATAAAAGATTTTAGACCACGACTGCTTTTATTACTAGTAAATAGAAACTCGTTTGCATAATAAATAGTATTCATAGTTACCGCCTCCTTTGACCTAAAAGGTCTATTAAGTGGGGAAAAAAATGGAAACCATCAATTTGGCATCGGATTCTAAGAGGAAAGTACACTTCACTTTTTAATTAATAACTGCAAATTCAATATAATTTAATTACGAGTGCATGACACTTTTGCTTTTAGCTTAAAGAATACATAACCCTATTCTAGGAAAGTATCCCTGCCTATAAAACCAAGCATGACCAAAAGAAACTTAGCAGGGAATCAGTTCGTGTTCACGCATGGCAACTCCACTCTATTTCCTCCCAACTCTGCTATTAGTTCTTGCTCAATCCATCACTTCTTTTACAGAAGAAACAAAGTGTGGCGGCAATAAAGAACTGATCAACCGCAGAGGTTTCCCCGATGGATTTGTATTCGGTGCAGCCTCTTCTGCTTATCAGGTGTGTTTGTGTTGTGTGTGAACTTAAATCGATCAGAAGCTTATATCAATTCTGAATGCCAGTATGCTTCAGTATTTCAATTCTGAATCATTTCAGTATGAAGGTGCATATAATGAACAAGGAAAAGGCCTGAGCTTGTGGGATAATTTCACACATATGTACCCAGGTTGTCTTCCTCCCTCCATGTGCCACCCCATGTATCTACCATGCACACGCACGCGCACACATATAGCTTACAGTTTGGTGAATTTGCTGAAATTGCAGAAAGGATAATAGACCACAGTAATGGTGACGTAGCAATTGACTCTTATCATCGTTACAAGGTATTTTTATGAATAAAGCTGTTTGTAAAGATGAATTGTGCAGGACAGTTGACAGGTGCTGAGATCGCAGCACCTTATTGGATGTTTTGACATTGTTTTTTTTTTATTTTTTTGTCCAAACTCCAATGAAATATTTCCATCTGGCATTATGTAAATCCATCTGGCAAATCTGTTGCACATGTAGCATTGCTGTATTTTTTTTTATATAATTATTTGACTGTTTTACAATTTGCATGCTACCCAAGTTGTTAATTTACAGTATTTTTAACTTTTTTATGCAGGAAGATGTGCAAATGGCAAAAGATATGGGTATTGATGCCTATAGGATTTCAATATCATGGCCAAGAATATTTCCAGGTAGTATTTTCTTGCCAACTCTCAGACAATATAGTACACAAACTACTTAGAATGGATCAGAATTCGAGGCCTTTTTTTTTTTTTTGGTGTATTTTATGACCAAATATTCAAATGGTTTTTAGGTGGAACAATAAGAAAAGGACCGAACCAGGACGGAATTGACTATTACAACAACCTCATTAACGAGCTTCTAGCCAATGGTATGATCCCTTAATGATTTTTGTCCATTTCTTCCCGACCATATAGCCACATCTATGGCATCTTTGATAGGTTGGATTGGATGATACTAAGCAATATTTAAAATAAAAACAAATACCTAACGGGTATATCTTCTTTAATCTTGTCGAGTATAAACCAACAAATTAATTGCTCACAACCCCAGGGGCAAAATGAGTGATGAATTTAATATGCACGCAGGTATAGAGCCTTATGTGACTCTCTTCCATTTTGATATTCCACAAGCTCTGCAAGATGCATATGGCGGGTTTCTAAGTTATCAAATTGTGTAAGTAATAGATAGGGACCGATCAGTTATCTATTTCCTATTAGTCAATCAGCCAATTAATCAATCAATGAACAGATTTCAAATAATGGGATCAGTTTACCTTCTTGTTTCAAATAAAATTTGAAATACTTACTGAGCATTTGTGGTGTTATCAACTGCTGAAACTGTAGTGAGTCATGGTTTACAGGGAAGATTTTCAAGACTTTGCAGACTTCTTGTTTAGCCAATTTGGAGACCGGGTGAAGAGCTGGATTACCATAAATGAGCCGTGGACCTTCAGTCGATATGGTTTTGCAATTGGTAAGTTTTCACCTGCTCGATGTTCAGATTGGCAAGGACTCGGCTGCACAGGTGGCGATTCTGGCAGAGAACCATATGCTGTGACACATAACCAGCTTCTTGCTCATGCTGCTACTGTGAACCTGTATAGAAAAAAATACCAGGTACTATTTTTTTGTACAAGTTTCTTCAAGTTTCTAATGTAGAAGAATATGTGTTGAATATGACTCATATATCCAGTTAATGACTGAGATATGCAGAAATTTCAAAAAGGAAAGATTGGAGTAGCACTAGTCTCGTATTGGTTCGAGCCTTACAATGAAAAGGATGAAAATCGGAAGGCTAAAGATCGAGCTCTTGATTTCATGCTGGGATGGTGAGTAGATTTTTGAACTTTTAAGTGGTACTTCTAGAATCGATCTCTGAATTGAGCAACCATTTCACCATAATCTCCCACAGGCTCACAGTTTAAACAAGATGATACTCAAACTTGTAATTTCCATCATAAAAATATTCCTCCTCTTCCCATATATAACAAATGATTTCATGTATGTTCAGGTTTATGGAACCATTGACATTTGGTAAATACCCAGAAAGCATGAGAGTTCGTGTTGGAAACCGATTGCCTGAATTCACCAAAGAGGAAGCGGACATGGTGAAGGGATCATTCGACTTTTTAGGAGTTAACTACTATGGTGCACTTTATGCATCCAATAAACCAAACTCTTCTAGTTTCAGCTATGACACGGATTCTGAGATGGACGCCACGGGTCAGTCCATAACTTCTTGGGCATCATCTATATTGGTAAAAATGAAAATCATGTTAAATCTCCGACATTTATACGATACAAATTCATTTCTGGCAGGGATAAGAAATCAGAAGCCAATTGGTGAACAAGGAAGAAATTCGAGTGTTATATACATTTATCCAAAGGGATTGAGGGAACTTCTGATGCATATAAAACAAATATACAATGATCCATTGATTTACATTACTGAGAATGGTAGAACACTAGATTCTACATGATCGTTAGTATTATCTTTATATATTGAAAGGAAATTGAATTTTTCCAAAAAATTAATCTCAGGGATCGATGAGGATAGAGATGACAACTTAGTAATATCAGAAGCAATAAAAGATGGCATGAGGAAGGAATATATCCATGACCATCTTTGTTGTCTACTGGAATCAATTCTGTAAGTTCTCTTCTCTCCACCTCCTTTAAGTAGGATTCTCAACTTCAGAATCGACATGATACAGTGAATATATTGTTGTTGCTCTAATATGGCAGGAAAGATGGTGTTAATGTGAAGGGCTATTTCGTATGGTCATTGATGGATAATTTCGAATGGACATCTGGTTACTCAGTTCGACTTGGACTTAATTATGTGGATTTCAAAGATAAACAGTTGAAAAGATACCCTAAACACTCTGCACTATGGTTCAAAAGTATTCTTGAGAAGAAGATTCAGGAGCCTCAGTCAAGGATTTCTGATCATTAAACTCGAAGAGTTCTGTCATTAACGATATTATACCCATCTCCAAATAGAACTATAAACAATCAGATTCATGAAATTATATGTGTGTGGTTCTTTGTATGGCATATTGGAATACTCTGAATAGATGAGAAGAAAGAACAAGAAAATGATTAAGGAGAATAATCATTATCTTCCACACCAAAGCCAATTGCAGGCCTGCAGATTCCAGCAGAGTCATTGGAGTTTCACTTAACAAACTTCTGAATCATCCTGCCATACAAACAATATATTCGAATCATCAAGAAATGAAACTAATTAAGTCAACATAAAGTAAAATGGCTCTTGCACAACTTCAGCATAAACTATACTGTAGCAACGTAACTGTTGACCTCGATTTCCGTAGGGGTAACGTGGCCAACAGGTAAATGCTCCACGTACCTACTAGCAAACCATTAGTCACTCGTGACTTTTTCAAGTCGTAGTGGAAGTGCCCGGGAGTATTCCGATAGTCAAGTCAGTAAACAATGAATGAGAAAGAAATGGCATTCTCAAATTTCAAGATAATAGAGCAAAATGTATGTTTAAGTTGCGTTAAGTTTGAAATGGCACTAATTGTGGGTATTTATGGGGAAAGTGGTAGATTTGGGACCGTTAGATTGAGAGACACAAGGCCGCATCTGCTAGCTAAGGCATCATTTCCTAAGTATCAATCAATCGGTCTTTAGGTGGGCTAGCATTTCCTAGGTATCAATCAATCGGTCTTTAGGTGGGCACGCGTTTAATACTCCCGAATGACTGGATTTTGTGGTTTCACAAACATCACATCAATCAATCGTGTGGATCTTATTTTGACTAGATCTTCATACAAAAGATCCTATATTTAACATAGACGAGACGACGTGATAATATTTTAACAACGTCATTCCACCTCTTACCACTTCGGCGTATATCCTTTTGAGGCGTATCATTTCAGCACCTTGGTAAAATGAGGATATGTATGTGGACCATTTCACCTTGGCACTTTGATGGTGCGGGATGACGTCGAGTGCGAACCTTGTTGATTTGCTTAGCTTGATGTCACGTTGGTGACGGTCTAGAGCCTCTTCACAAGAGGTGTAACACTAACCTCTATAGTAAAGAGATGAATTGCATTCAAAGACAAAAGCACACTCAAGAAATGAGACTTTCCGTTCAAATTCTGATGTTTGAACAGAAATCCAATCCGTCATTATGATTATAAACACCAATAAACAGGCAAAACGAAATTAAATCAGACGCTTTGGAGAATAATCCTACGTTGTATTCAATCCAAATTAAAGAGAAATGAGTTTGCTGCCAATAAGTACTTGCCTGGTCTAGTTTGGCTCTGATATAGGGGGAGTTCTCGGCAGGACATTGTGAATGACATGGAAGTGGCTTCCGATAATTTTTAAAACACTACATCTTACTATTCATGTGCTTAAGACTACGTTTTTTAAACCACTGCATCTTACTGTTTATGTGCTTAAGACACGAAGAAAAGTCTACTCCAATACATGAAACATGATTTGGCAATCTTGAAATTCCAAGACAATTATGACATGTTAATACTCTTTAGAACACGGCATTACACATTTCAGAAGTAGTCATCAAAGATCAACGAGAAGAGAGAATGCCTGAATATAATCTAGATTTGCATCAATTTACAATAATGATAATAGGCAAATTACACCACCTTCCTAGTTCAACTAAAAGCTGGAGATCGGTGAGCTATTTGATTCTCATCTTAATCTTCTATATCTAAAACAAAACCAATAAATTAAATAGACGAAAGATCCTCATATACTGTCTTGATGCCTGGCCTCACGGATACAGCACGTATACAACGTAAAGCTATTCCAAGAACCTCGTTCATTCCCTTCTCCACTGCTGGAACACTCATCTCTGATGTCAATGTGACATCAAAACAGTCTGATCCTCGACCTTCTGCCACCCTCAACCTAATCCAATCTGTTAAATCAACTCCTCCATCTTCGCTTGAGACTACATCCCCGGCACACTTCCCTGTAAGAAGTTCCAATAAAATCACTCCAAAAGCATAAACATCTGATTTGAAGGAGGGCATAGGCTTCTTGGATGCAGCTAATTCTGGAGAGCGATAACCCAAAGCCCCAGCATCAAGAATCTGTTCAACGGTTCCCAATTGGGTCATGAGGCGGTGAAGACAGTAATCAGCCACGCGTGCATTCAGCTCAGATCCATCTAGTAGTATGTTTGTTGCTTTAAGGTTCCCATGTGGGACAGCACGGTCAAAATGGAGATAGTTCAGACCACGTGCAACATCAACTGCTATTTTAAGCCTTTGGGCCCAGGTTAGGTGTGGACCCTTCCTTCCAGGTCGATCTGCAAAGAGTGAATTTATGAAGACATAAACAAGGCAACCACTATACAATTTCACTCCACTCTAAGGAGTAAATAAGGTGCAAGTGCATAGATGAAAGCTAAGTTTCTATCTTTCCAACATGCATCAAAAGCAACCATAAGAACCGAAAGCATCTATTTTTAACTCGAAGGGAAATTCCTGCATTTAATGGAAAACTAGAGAATCAATATTACAAGAGTAAGCGGAAACAGCTCGTTCTTATGATTAAGACATATCCTTCCTGATTTTAATTGTGCATTCTTAGAAAATCTGGTTAAATAAGAAAGGTAATTATCATTAGAGCAGAATCATGGAAAATTAAAACAATTACCTGATGGAATTTAGTGTTTCAGAAAACCAACAGAAGCATCAATCATAACTGGTAAAACTGAGTAGCGACCAAAACAATTAACAAAGAGAAAACACCAAAAGAATTGAAGGAAAGTAAAACAAACACGCTAAGTTAAATCAAACTAATTCCTGTTATTTAAGTGCAGATGAAGAAGTGCAGCAACGTAAGTACCATAGAGAAACCTTGCTAGACTTCCAGGAGATATGTAGTCTACGAGAATGAGCTTCTCATGCTGTGTGGGTCCCCAATAGTACCCTCTCAATCCAACCACATTTGGATGTCTGATATTTGCAAACTTCTTAGCCTCTTTTGCAAATTCTTTTCTCTGTTTTGTTACTCCTTCCCTCAACCACTTCACTGTCAAAAACAATCCACTCTCTAAAGAAGCTCTGTAAGATGTCCCATGGCTGCTTCTTCCAAGGACTTCAGCTGGAGCCCTTGAGAGTTCATCAGCTGTAAATGAGATCGTATCATCAAGAAAGTACAGCTCACCAGCCAGTCGATCAGGAGAACCAACATCCAATCTTGAAAGCTGTTCTGCAGTAAATGACCCTCTGGACTCTGGTGACCATGAGAAATGGCTTGTTTTTGATGGTGAAAAACCAGTTACCGCAGCCATTTTCTGATCAGAACTAATTATGTCCAATGATGATCCTTTTCGTGCTGTCGTGAGTTCCTTGCCTGAAACACCCAAGCCACCAGCAAGGTCTTTTCTACCAGTGCTAGAAGGTTTAAGTGTTTGAAGGCACACATCTTTGTCGGTAACATGTGACAAAGGCCTTCTCGATTTGCGCTTGTAATAAATAAAAATGGAAATAAGGATCAAAATGACCATGGAAATAACGCAAGATACTATTATTACCATTTTGATAATAATTTTCATGTGTTTCTTATTGGGATTTCCAGTTGGAACCTGGTTTGATCCAGGAGGAGGATTCGGAAACTTCAGTGCAGAGTTGCCAGGATAGAAAGATGATAGGGGAAATTTTCTTAAATTTTCAGGGACAACCCCCGAAAGATCATTATATGACGCATTAAAGCTTTGGAGACTATTAGACAAGTTATTTGGCAGTGGACCTGTGAAATGATTGTGGGAAATGTCCAGTGAAGTTAGGGTACTGATATTACAAAAAGAAGTAGGCAGAGAACCAGAGAAATTATTCCCCCCAATATCGAGCGCTTGAAGTCCAGCAAATGATCCAAACCCATCAGGGAAGTGACCACTAAGCCGATTGTCAGAAAAATCAACAACATGCACATTTGAATTTTGCCAGGGGGGTGAAAAATCCACACTTCCTGAGAGTATATTACTCTGTAGGTGAAGTTCCTGAAGAGTTGATGATGTTAAGAGAGTAGTTAAAAGAGGTCCCCCCAGCTGGTTGAAGCTGAGATCAAGGATAGCGAGTTTTGGAAATAGCGAGATGACATTTGGAAGAGCACCGTTTAGCAAATTGTGAGAGAGGTTAAGATAGTTTAAGCGCAGAAATTGCGCAGTTACCTCCGGAATGGACCCTGTCAATCGGTTTTGACTGAGATCAAGAATTTCTACATTTCCCCATTTCAGCAGTCTGGTTAAATTTCCTTCAAAATGGTTTTCTGACAGATCAATAACTGCACAACTTCCTGTCAGAAGCGGAAGTTCACCAGAAAGCACATTTGAGGAGATATTAAGGGTGCGCAACGTTGTTGATGTTATCATACTTACCGACCCTGCCAAGTAAAAATAGATTGTATAGTGGAGGCAGTCATTGAGTGGTCAATTAGGCTATGAACAAAAATAATATTATCATTTAACAAAAGCTACCCTGAAAAAATTATAGATAATAGAATACTTTGATAACTACTAGAAGAAAAATGACACAGTTGAATTGATGTTCAAACTAAGTATAGCAGCGTTTAATGATCAAGCTCGTAATAGTAGATGTACCTGAGAGGTTGTTGCTGCTCAAATCCAACTCGGTTAGAACCAAAGAATCTTCTCTCAAAAGGTTAGTTGGAATGAAGCCAGAAAATCTGTTGTTACTGAGTTTCAGGACCTCAAGATCATAAACAAAATTGAATCCAGGTAACTCCCCAGATAGCTGATTGTAGCTCAAATCCAAAACCTTCAAATTCCCAAAACCTTGTGCATCACCCCCACCAACTAGTAATCCTGTTAGTTGGTTGTGACTAAGATTTAAATGCTGTACAGTAGGAGAAATACCCTCTAAAAAATTTTGCGGCCTACTGGATGAACTCGTAAGCAAATTCCTGCTAAGGTCGACATGAGTTGCAGCAGTTAGTACCAAGAATTCTGGATCTAAATCACCATCAAACATATTCCCGTGCAAGTCGAGCACCTCAAGTTGTGTCATCAACTCAAATCCTTTTCGTATTCCACCTGTAAGATTATTGTGGGATAGATTAAGAGACACCAAAACACCCAACCGTGTCAAAGATGATGGCAGTGATCCGGTAATGGAATTGCGACTGATGTCCAAAGAGAATATAGAGGTAAGCCCCGAAATTGTGTCTGGGATCGAACCTGAGAAGTTATTCCCAGCCAATGACAGATTCTTTAACCTACCTAACTTACCAATCTCGGAAGGCAGTGACGAGAAGAACAGATTGTCAGAAATATCCAAATACTCGAGGCTATTGAATTCATCAAGGTTGTTAGGAAGCTTCCCAGAAATGGAGTTGTTGGAAATTGAGAGTTTTACTAGCATTGTCAGATTAGAGAATACACTCAAATCAACATATCCAGATAATTCTAAGTTGTCAAGAACAACTTCTGCAACATTATCTTCATTGCACATTATCCCATACCAGGAGGAAGGGCATCCATTGAAATTAATGGACTCCTCATTCCATGAATCAAGCACGAAACCCGTGGGGTCGTGCTGGATTCCTTTTTTGAACTCAAGCAGTGCCAAAGTGTCATGGGAAGGGAGCTGCCCTAGTGCGGAACCAAAACAAAGGACAACTATAAAAAGCTCACATATCTTCATTCTAACCCCAAGTAATGGCTTCACCTAATCAAAATTTAATCTCAATGTCAAGAACAAAATAAATTCAAAGTTGCAACATATAAGTTGGGATACAAAGAAACACTCAAATCTGAGCACCAAATATACCCTACCGAATTTAAAACTTCTTCCAAGGCATGACTAATGATCCAAACAACACCCCACCCCATCACACCCCTCAACAGCAGAACGACAATGAAAAAGGGCAAATTTTCAAACTGAAACTGAAGCTTCAATACAGTGTAGGACAGTGAGGCAATGGAAATAACAATAAATGACTGAAACAAACCGTACAAAGCGAGTCATTTTCATGAGCTAACTGTCGGAAAGGTCAGAGTCCAGCTTACCAATTACAAAGATTCAAAGCCCACACGGCCTCCAGAAAATACACTGTGTAAGCACTCTGAAACTACAAATGCACTAGCAGAGCCTCAGGCACATTAAGAATGAGACAAAAAAGAAACTTGTGCATTAAAGAAAACGAAAATGGAATTCAACCCTGATGCTAATAGCAACAGAAACTAGCTTCCAAAAGACACAGAAACCGACTAATTACTCTACATACGAGAGAGGTTAAAATCCCATAAAGGTAATGTCTTTATGTCTCTTCCTAAAGTAATCGGCATTCCTATTTACCCAGTACAAAACCGTCAATTATTTCATTCTTTCGATTCTTTTACTGGCGGTAAATAAAGGGCCATCCGTTAATTGTCTGTATAATTTTAAGAATTATTCTTGGTACACGGAGAACCCTCCGAACACTCACCTCAATAAAAAAGAAAAAAAAAAATTACATGCCCCACCTCAATAAAAAATTACACGGTGTCATGCTTGATGTTTTGGTGTACATCATATCATGTGACATTCTTTTCAGAAAGGTGGGGCCACAATTTTAAAAATCATGACCCCACACTCTCTTGTGAGAAGTGTCAAAGTTAATGTATACAAAAAGTATACAAATGGAATTTTCCAAAAAATTTACCCACCCCTCCCTTCGTGAGTGTTCTAACACATAACCATTACACGGTTACACCGAGAATAATTCTAATTTTAAAGAAAAAGGCAGCAGTAAATGGCAGAGCCACAGGGGGGAAAAGAATAGCGGGAAATGATGAATGTTTCGGGTAATCTGTAGGTAAATGGGTTTTACCCGCCAAAACAGGAGAATCTTGTCAGTGTGGATGTCGAGGGATTCATCAAATCTAGTTTGAAGATTGTTTGGGTTCGTTCCTTCAATGAAGTTGGTGCATGTTTGGGTAAGCTTAAAAAATTAACTTATATATAATTTAGTTGTAAGCAATTTAAAATAGATGATGTTGTTTAACTGTTAAAGTTTAAAAATAATAAATTCCTAATCTTAAAATATTTTTTTATTATCAAAACTTACCAAATAAAAGACGTAAACTTATATCATGAGAAAATTTGAGAGTGTGGAATTAGGGGTATAAAATTGTATCAACCACTTAGACTCGAGATGGCATGATTCACCACAAATATCCTTCACTCGTCAATGAAGATTATAGACTGTAAGTGCTCAGAAAAAAGCTCGTTCAACCTCTTAGCAAAAGTTTGGCCGTCTAATGCCCCAAATTCTAAATGGTTTCGTTTCAAATAATTTTAGTGAATGAATCTTCAATGGTAGTACAGTTGATAAATCCTGATTGAATTTTTAACAAAAATCATTTGGTCAAATTTTTTTATTTATTTATGTTTTTCTAAGAAAGGGCTTATCAACCCTTCTACGTAATATTTCCAGTTATTTGAGTCACCTCCACTTAAATATACTATGTTTTACACCTCTTAATTTCATAGACATGGATGGTTAAATGATACGAAGTAGCAAATGAATTAAGCTATTTGTACAACTTTTTTTACACCTTGGTGGGCGACCTAATGACATGGAAGTAGTTGAATTAAATGTGGAACGATGCTGGGGTGCCAGAGAGGATTTGACACTCTCCCTGACAGACTCCTCACAATAAGGTGGAGGGGGGAATTTTTTTTCTTTTTTAATTCATATGGGTCCCGCGTGCGTCCTGCTACGATGTGAGAGGATGTCAACTAAAGTGTCAAATTTCTTCTAACAAAATGGTTTAATCCTTAAATGTGTGAAATGTGAAAGATTATGTGAAACTATGTAAAATGTAAATTCGATACTATAGAATATAAATTAGAATGTACACCTGGACAGATTGAATTATTGGGGAGGGAGCACTAGGCCTTGAAAAGGTCCAATTAAGTTACTGCAAGGACAGAAGTGGTCCACATTGTATAATTGGTAAGAGCTGGCAATTTCTTTTCTTTGTTGTTTAGAGTCACAGGTGACTAGAGTCTCTTTGTTTTACTCTAAATTTGACTAACTTTTTTTTCATTTTTTGATTTGGCCCATAATTCTTTTATATAGTAAAATACTTTCTCGTGACTAAATAATTCAAAATATATATTTGATTCTGTACAACTTGAACACGAGAACATGTGACTTCATCGAACAAAAAGTCATTTTGGACTTGTAATTAGGCTATACGACAGGGTTTGGACCAAACAAATTCAGCCTGCCAAATCAAATATTAGACTTTAGACAATAGAGACACTTAGGTGTAGTTCTTGTTATGAGACAAGATATTCAGGTACAAATTTATTGTATACATGAAAGGATAATTGGTACAAAATTTCTTTTATCGTTTATCCTCTTTGCAAAACTCGCTCGTATTATTTTAAAACTCGCATTTACATCCTCATTTCAATTTATTCTCGTGCAAAATGTCATTTCTATCACGAATCGTTCATTTGTTCCATTAAACACGTGCAAGCACTCCATCTAAAATATATGACGAGCATTTTGGTCGTGTCACTTTGCTGATTATTTTCCACCAAAATAACAATTATACACTAGTTTTTAGATAAAATAGATGATAAAAATAAAAAACGATAGAAATTCATCATCTTCTCCACCCCAACGCACCCAGCCCTTCCCCCTCCTTCACCTCCACCACCCGACAAATCTTTTGATTCAATGTACATATGGCTGCTAGACAAGAAGTTTTTACCTAGTACGATCAAGCCATGTCCATACATTAGCATCAAATTAGTGCAACTTTTACGCGGTTCTGCAAGTCATCTCCAATCATTATATCAAATATTTCAATATATCCTTTGTTTTCTTATTTTTAAATAATCGATGATTAATTTATTTCATAAATAATTTAGTTAAAACTATTTCGCTACTAAAGTTATTAAATTATAAATTATTGTTAATTGACTAAAATATTTCATTTAATAATAAATTAGAGGAAGCATTACAGTAGAGGTAAGATTTATAGGCCTAATTAAAGAACAATGTTATCAATAACTAAGTATGAATTGGGATTGATTATTGTGTACTTCTGTTATGCAAGGGAATCGGCCTCAAAATCACGCGGAAGCAGACAACAATATTCACCAAGAAGATCGAGAACAATTTACACAAAGTAAATCTAAAATTATTTGGGGCTCAGAATCACAAAGATACATTGTACCCGTCTGTTCACAAATAACAAGCCAACAAAGCCCAAACCCTAACAAGGATTGCACAAAGCAGTCACTTCAATGAACCAAGAACTTGACAGCCTAACTATGCCCTCTCAAGACTCAATCGAAGAANCTATCAAGTTCTATGATTAAAACCAAGTGTTTTGATCAATTTCACAAAGAATCGATGAAGGCAGAGAAGAGAAGACGAACGAAGAAAAGGGTCAGAACATCCCTCCCACACTAAGACAGAAAATCGAATGAATTCTCACACAAGAATGACCGTCCAGCTCCCTTTTATAATCCATCATCACACCATAGATTAGGCAATAGTTCTACAGTCCAGAGCAGCACACTTAACAATTCCTTTTGGGCCGGGTTTTGGGCTACTTTCTTGTGAGTTATTGGGCAGTGGCTTTAAACAAAACATTTTCCATTTTTGGACTAAGCCCTATTTCATCATTGTCCCAAGAGTTAGGAAACCAAATGTCACAAATGGCATCAAATCCCAACATGTTAATTTTAACATTTTATAAATACTCAATTTTTATGTCGAGATTGAATGTAGAGAAATGTTATCAATAACTAAATATGTACAACTTTATTTATTTATTGATTATGGCGTAATCCTATTAGTTTTAATATTTAATAAATATAATGAAAAAATAACACGCAATATACCAGCCAGGTTCAAGGAACAAGGGGAAAATGTGTTAATCACAAGCTACAACACACTTAACACAACATGCCCATTTAACGTTAATCCAGATGTAGACGACTTGAATTTTTTAAGAATGATTCTACTTGTACATATGAGTTACAGAAGGTTTTATGGATAGATGGAAGTCAAAAAGGTAAAAAAAATTCTTTTTTTAAAAAAAAAAAAGTTATGACATCTTATCATATCATTTGTATGTAAACCAATCTGTAAACGATGATGTACATATAGCACAACCAATGTTATATATACATATAGCACTCGGATTACATGACACACTACAATAGACGATATGAGATAATAGTTGATTACAAAACTGATTACACCACATATTGTAGTGTGACACGTCACTGATTACACGTCAATTCCATATATCAAGACTGATCTCCTAAGCATTCGGGTGACATGATATACTACAATATGTGGTGGAAGATAATGATTGGTTACTTCACCTATTGTAATGTACTGCGTCGCCTAGTGCTTAACATAAACCAAGCATCGGTGCTCAAAATATCAATTCCTAACAAATATACCAGATATAATCCCGAGGAACTGAAATGCTAATCGAAAACTAATCACATTAAAGTACCACTGAATCCAGTCATCATACACATACAAGAATAAAATAAATTGATCTGATAAATCAAATGGAGAGGCTCAAATAAGAAAAGACTCGAAATACATGCAAATATTGTACTTGTATCCACTGTGTATCGACACGTCCTAAACTCTAGCATCAGATATAGATACCTGAAGCCTCGATAAAAAGGCGTGGATGAAAAAAAATGCAAAGAATTAATAGCAGCAAGCATAGATAAAATGCGAGCTCCACTCTTTCCTGCTCACCTTGTTGGTTTACGAGTAGTGAAAAGTCATCAACTCCAACAGCCATCGGGTCGATAGGATCCAAGCTGTCAGTTTTCACTGAGATAGATCCACTATTTTGTTCACATTAATTTGTAGCATCCTGGACCTCACATTCTCCCACGTCATTAGGTCCCAGATCCCGATTACTGGAAACCGAATTTTCTCCAGCATCAGCATTGGTGTGCAACCAGGCCTCCTCAAGCTGTAAAACGTACTCCAAGTGCCATAAAACTTCTCCCATTGTTGGCCTACTCTTCCCCTCGTCAGCAAGACTTTTCTCTGCAATCTCCCCAAATTTCATCAATGATTCCGGAGAATACTTTCCCCTTAGTCGTGGGTCGATAATGCTTTCGAGTGATCTCTCCCTCTGCCAACGCATTGCCCACTCTGCAAGATTGATTTGATCTTTTGGCAAGGTTGGATTTATAACAGCCCGAGCACAGACAACTTCAAAAAGGACCACACCAAATGAGTAAACATCAGATTTCTCAGTCAACTGCTGCCGCCTAAAGTATTCAGGATCAAGATAACCAAAGCTTCCTTTTACTGCTGTACTTACATGGGTGTGCTCCAGCGAAGGACCAGTTTTGGACAATCCAAAATCGGCCATTTTAGCTACAAAGTTCTTGTCTAACAGTATGTTAGTTGTTTTAACATCTCGATGGATGATTCCCCTCTCGGATCCTGTATGAAGGTAATGCAGTCCTCGGGCTGCGCCAATGCATACTTCTAATCGTTGCTTCCAACTTAATGACGGTAGGTCGCTACCGAATAGATGACTCCTGAGGGTTCCATTTTCCATATACTCGTATACCAAGATCATTTCGTTCTGTTCATCGCAGAATCCAATCAGGGAGACAAGATGCCTATGCCTCAGTTTTGAAAGCATCTCGATTTCTGTCTCAAATTCAGCCAGGCCTTGATGAGATTGTGGGTTGGCTCGCTTAATCGCAGCAAGGGTGCCGTCATCAATTTCTCCTTTGTACACCTTACCAAATCCTCCCACTCCAATCCCTAGGCTTTCATCAAAATTGTTTGTTGCCACCCTTATCTCCGCTAATGTAAAACGCCTTCCAGATCGGATAGCTCCATTAGGATTCTGATACGCAGTCGATCCTGTCGCTTTGGCAGCGCGATTAGCAATTGATCCGTGGAGGAACAGAGGCTGCCAACCAGGAGCAGTCTTCTTCGCATCATCATTGTGATCTTTGTTCTTCTGCTTACAAAACCAGACAATTAGCATAACTAAAGCTGCAAGAATAGCAATAGAGGCGATACCTGCTCCAATTCCCACCCAAAGGAAACTTTTTGATGTTTTCTTGCCTTCTAGATTGATATACTTCTGTACGTAAGCAAGATTACCATTCTGACTAAGCTTAAAAACCTCCAACCCATTCAAGAGAGCATCTGTTCCTGCAGAACCTGTTGTCGTGTCAGGACCTAGCTGTATCCACAGGGTGCTGATTTTAGATGAAATCACGTCGAAGTAATCCTCGTGATATGCCTTGTTCATTCCTCCAGCTCGAACAAAAATATCGAAGTTCTCTGCTGCAGTTCTATTATTTATGTAAATTCTGAAAATCCTTTGATTTGGCTTGTCGTAAAAAAGTTCACAGAAATGCAAGCGGACTAGATAGTCAAAATCTGGATCAACTTCCAATTTCCATGACATGTTGAATCTCTTGTCCAAGACTTCAGTATTTGACAAAATCCTCGCTGTTTCATATACGGGGAGAGGAGCCACGAATGTGCCATTAGGAGAAGAATAGGTGATGTTAGTTCTGTTTTTGATTTCCGAACCGGCATCTGGATTGACCATGTAACTTGAATCTACTTCCCACGTCCTCCAGAAATCCAAATCTTGTGAAGGTTTAATTGCAGAACCCCCAACATTCAATCGATGCATGGTTTCAACCCCTCGTTTGTCTATGTTCAAAGAACTACTGCCACCATTTCCACTCACTCTTCTCACCGAGTCATTGAACAGCTTATTATCAACAGGTATAATTTCTATGGCATTCACAAAACCAAAAGACCCTTTGGAAGGAATAAAGGCAACAACAATGACATCGGCATCAATGGTAAAGAAATACTCCTTCACCAACGAAGTAAAGCTAGAATTGCCTCCTGACCCTAGAAAGTTCGAATTCTTATTCAAAATCTCACCAGGAACATTGAACTCAGAAACCAACCTTAAACCATTCGACTCAACAGCAAAGACAGAGTCATTGGCATTGTAATTCATGTACGCCAATGGATAGAAATGGAGCCTAAGAAAATAATTTCCCGGTGTCCCTTGAACAGTATAATTCAAACTATCGGTAAAAATCCTGGCAGTTTTATAAAGTGGCTTGTAAACTGGATCGCCACTGAACGTCTCAGTCGAGGCCTCAATACCAGAAGCACTGAAGGTGACATTGCTCCCAGGATCTTTGTCACCAATCCATCTCCTCCCATCCACAGTTACACTGGAATTTGTCCCACAACTTATCAGAAAAGACTTCCTCTGAGCTTTCCCAATCTCCATAAATCCGAAAATAGTCACCAGCCACAATAGGCCCAGCAATCCCATGGCTTGGACCTTCATTAAGCAGCACTCAAAAAACAACCCAAGATTCCTCTTTTTCTCCCCTTTTTATCTTCTTTTTATCTTCACAAGAATTTCAGCTTCCAATTCAAATACCAATAAACTCAAAAATAGCAGGAATACAAATCAAAAGATGAAAAACCCTTTGAATCACACTGACTTCCCTTTAATCCCAATATCAAATGAATCAATCTTGTACATATATTTCAGCTAAAGCAAAACTATTCAATACACATCAAATTCAAACATCAAGTCACCTGCATCAATCTGGGCTATTTGCAAGTGGTTGAACGGCTGAATCAAACACTAATTTCTTGACTAAAAAAGTCCCAAGCAGCAAGCAGATCTGAAACAAGAAAAGGCCCGATAAATGAAAATTTTCCTTAGATCAAGACAGAAAATGTTGTAAAGAAAATTGGGTTCAAAGCATCTTTTGAAAACTCAGGGAACAACAACAATTTGGTTGGCTAAACTATTGAAACAGCCTGGAAACATTCATGTCATATTGTAGTGTTTTTGTTTTGTTTTATGAAAGGTCTAGATTCTCCCCCTTTATATGTTTGATGTAACCGATGCAATGGCAACTTCTTGTAATTTTAAAAAAATATTCGAAATTGAGATGAGCGGCAGGTATGGGTGCCAGAGCATGGATCTCCATTATTTGAGGTAAGCCAAACTCACATGGATTGTCAAGGGATTATCAACAGTCTCAATTAATTGTATAGAAATTTTGGGCAATATCCCTGATACTCTGCTCTTACAAAAATTAAATAAAAATCTTGTCTTCTTGCTTCTTCCGTACCTAGAGTACACCCTCAACTAGTCTCGTACTATAGATAATTTTTGGAAAATTGTAAAGGCATGTTTGGTACAAATTTTCANGCCTATTTGGTACAAATTTTTTTTTTCTACAGTAAATCAATTTTAATTTTCAACCACACATTCTTCAATAAAATAATATTTTCCATCACATCAATAATTTTTTCTTCTTTTTCAACTACACATTTCCCATTATATCACTATTCAAAAATCAATTCTTCCCCCAAAAATCCTTACCAAACACACTCTAAGTTGATTCTCATTTTATTTTCTATTAGTATCCTCGTCTTTAGATTTGTAACAAGTTAGTCAACCCATCCCGTCACGTTACTTTCCACTGTAATTTAAAATTTTCACTCTCGTAAGTCACACATCATCCTCGTCTAATCGAACCACAATTTTGCATAATATACATCAAGTTTGACGCATGAATGACATTGTGTGAATTGACACTTTTTTGTAAATTGATTTCAACAACATTATTTTCAATCAATTATCAAATTTTCTATACACAAGGAGAATGTCATCCAAAATGTCAATCATGAATGTACAAGTTAATTGATTCCAACCCTTGCCTATCTCCATCCTCCACATTTGTTAATTCTAACTTGTAGCCCCTCGACCAACCTCTTATACAAACCCCTATCCCACATAGCTTCTCGATTCATTCCTTCGACCACTCGCTATGCTTTTCCACATTTTTATTCTTTTTCTATATTAATCTAGACGTGTAAGAGTTTTTTTTTTTTAACAAACGTGTGATTTTTTAATATGAAACTAGATGGAAATACATTTGTTCGTAAGTAGTTTGCTACAAATTTGAAATATTAGAAATTGTACTTTCAGAATATTGGGGACCAACTCCTATCATATCAGCATGTCGAGATTTTCCTTACTTTATTAAATAGTTTATATATTAAATTAAATAATTTTCCAAAATTACTAAAGACAATCCTAGTAAAATCTAATTAAAATATTCCGTCATCATAATGTCTTTTCTGCCGCGTAACACTCGAACTCTACTTAATTAATTTCCCTAGCACATTACTACTATTTATTGTAAGAGCATCTCCAGTTGTAATGTAAAATTGAGTGTAAATTGATATTTTCAAAATTATTTTTGCATCTTCAATTGCATCTTGGTAGATCTAAATTCAAATTCTGCTCCAACGAAAAGATTTAAATTCACTTTTGCCTCTTTTGATTTTTTTTTTTTTTTACATTTTCTACCGAAAAATATAATTTGCATATCTTCATTGAAAGAGGTGTTCGACCACTTTGAATATTTAAATAACAATTTAGAGCCTCGTTGACGATGCTCTAAGTGGGCATCTATACTTTACTCATAAGTGAGAAGGACTTTTCTCCATATCAAGTCTTTTTTATTTCGAGGACGCTGACAACGAAACTAGAAAATTAGATTGACAACCACGTTTGAAATTAATTTCGGCCGTTCAATAATTTTAAATGCATTTCTTAAGGCAATATTATGTGAATTAAACATATTATGGGATTGGCATCAATTGAATTGTGCCAGCATCTAAGTGTCCCTATCTGACTCATTGAGTAAATGTCAAGCTTGCTCTAAATTACAATTATTAGTACCAAACACGACACAACATAACATTTGATTAATATCATTTTTTTTTAATTATTATGAATGCATGTATCATAAATCCAGCTGTCCTCTCTAGTAATCTTAATTTTTATTCATAAACGAAAAAAATAATGTAGTCGAATCAAAATAATCGATTTTGGGTCCCATAGATCTATCAATATTTTGATTTTGAACTAAACTGCACGCCAAAAAAAAGAATATATATATATACTTTTCAACCATATATTTCAAAATTTTATATCACAATCTACTAAAAATCTAATATTATTCCCCACCAAACACCCTTTAAATATCGCAGTCAACCTAATTTCTTTCTACACTTCAACATTCTATTAGTACATAATATTTTTATCCGTAAACTTCGATGCTAATTTATATTGTTTGTTAGATAAAATAAATCATTGAATACGAGCCTAGTGTTTTTATTTAATTGACGTAGTACTTTATTTTTTAAGGATCTTGTCACTCAAAATAAACTTTTGCGAAAAATGTTCGCATAGTCTTCTCCAATACTTACATCTCAATCCACAAGGTCAAGTCAAGTTCTCCAATTATATTTTGCGATTGTCCAATGCTTAGCTTCCATCTAACTTTCTTTTAAGAATTAGTCTACGTGTACACCTTGTGATGTACACAATGTTTCACACCTTGTGATGTACACAATGTTTCACACCTCCCTCACATGGAGGGGTTACACAAATATTTTATTGTATGTGGACTCCTTCCATACGAAGGAGGTGTGAAACATTGTGTACACATAGTATTTCCCTTCTTTAAAGGGCTCACCAATTGTGATATAAAAAGCATGCTTTGGAAATAGTTTATAAATTATTTAAACTTATTTTTGCACAAATTTATTTTCTAATTTTGTTTTATCAAATTAAGGATGATAACTAGAAAATGTTAAATTAATAATAATTATTATATTATTTTTATCATCTTATAAATTGTTACCTGATCTACCTGTGTTGAATTGTAAAATGAAAATTGGAGATGTTCTCCACTTTCAATGTAGCAAAGGACAAAATGGTAGGGTTCATTTGATAGGCAAATGTGAAAAAAAATTCCAATTTTATGTTGTTGAAAAATAAAAATTTATCAAATCCATGAGAATTCGTTTTTTATGAAAACAAAGAAAATGCAGTTTAAAGTGGTTATACCTTGAAGTTCGTTTTCCATTTCCACGTTGCAATCAAATGACCAAAATGAAATTCGTTTTCTTCTGATGGGACATTTTTCATGGATTTTGTTGCAATCGAACAGGGGCTAATTGCAATTTGAATTGACTGAAGGGGCAAAGAATACAAAATGACAGCCAATTAGAAGCGTGTATTTTAGGTTTTAGCCGATGATTGTCCATCAAAGTCGAATATTAATTTTAATAATATATTTAAATTATTACTACTACTCATTCATTATTCCCACATTTTGTGAGGTTTATACATTTTTTACTTATAAGTTACTTATAATTTTAACCAAACACTCGCATAGACACGTGTATACACGATCTACATCAACTTATTGCACTAATGGCTGATCTAAAGCATAAAAATTCACGAACACAATGTAACTGAATATTTGAATTAATTATCGAAGATCAAATTTGATAAAACTCTCCATTATTTTATTGGATATGCAGAACTTAAGGTGTCTTAAAAAGGTTTAAAAAGTAAATGCAATGAAAGAAAACTCCACAAATAAAAAAGAATAATGTTGTATAGTACCACTAGTATTAAACATTAGTTAATATGATAGCATATCGTAGGTTCCATTAAATATACCATAAATCATTTTATTTATTTGAACTTATTATTTAATGTCACGAGCCTAAGGTGAGCTGGCTTGCATGCTTGCAGCTCAGTGATTCATTACTCAACTCATTTAATCCGCGAGTCAAGTTAGCTCAACTCACTAGTCCTATGAGCCGAGGACTTGGCCTATATTTGGCCCCTTTTTTTTATATAAAAAAAATATATATTTTTTAAAAATTCATTTTTAACCACATATTGTCCCATAAAATGATTTTACAAGTAAATAAAAAAAAAAATTCTTATTTTTTAACCACATTTTTTAAAAAACCACTATTTTCTTACCAAAATATTGGCTCAAACAGGGGGCTTAAAATCCCTATGCATAGTACTTATACTCCCTCATGTTGTGTCTTATAATCGATATTGTTTGTATCATGTCATCGAGAAAGTACTTTAAACGAGGGCAATTATCTTCAATTTTACGCTAATCTTTTCAGTACACATCATTAAATTCGATAATACAGACTTTTAATACTTGAGGGAATTTGACAATGTTAAAAATTTAAATTTTAGTCATTATGATATTCAATTTAATATGTTAAATAATGATGTGCATAACTAAGGTGAGGGTTTAAAATATCCTCTTGTACTCATTTATTTTATTTATATTTCTAAAGATGTTTTAAATTAAGACGTACAAAATAAATATAATATAATAAAAATTTTTGAATTATTTTCAAACTAGACTATTTGTAAGCGTTCTAGAAAAATTTTAAAACAAAACATTTTATGTTTCC